GTCCTGATGCTGGGTAGCCTGTCAGGAGCAGCTCCACAACTACAGATTCAGCTCCCCAGAAAGACTTGCATAGTGACTGCATGGACACCTACTGCCTACTGCCTTCTTTTCTTTTCTTGAAACGAGCACCATTATCTTTTAGTGGTACATTAAAATGTTTCCTGTGGCTCCTGTTGTGCTCAGAGACTGGGCTCCTCTCCTGTTCAAATGCAAAGGAGCTGCCCACACTGAACAGAAGGCTAAAGCTCTTCTAAAGGCCTGACATTGTATAGAAAGGTCTCATCATCAGCTTCCCTTCCTAAAGCAGGCAGGAAGGGGCTTTGCCTTGAGGGTAGAGATCCAGTCACCGTGTCCTGGCAGCTTCCCTCACCTGCAGGTCAGGTTTAGGTTGCCTGCATAGCACAGACAGCCCTTCATGTCCATCAGCTCCATTGTTCACACACACTACCTGCTATAAAATAACACGTCCCCTTTCCCATGCACTCACAGCATCCCTGCCCTCCAGTGAAACACTGGTTTGGAAGCTGTGCTCTCCCTGGGGAACAGAGGTACTAGAGTGAGCCACTACTGAACTGGGGCAGCACAGGGGGAGAAAGCACAGAGACAAAGCAGTGGCAATCTCAACCAATAAGCCACAGCAGTATCAGGGGCTGAGGAGCTACAAGGTGAGAGACACTTACTCTGATATGGGGGCTAGAAGTAGCAGGGCATCGCTGGGGAGGGAACACTGCCGAAGGGGCATCACAGCAAGGGTGCAGTTAGGAGGACTCTCAGACAAACAGGACCACTAGCTGAGGCACCATATATGAAAGAAGATACAGGGGTATTGATCATGCAGGGCTGTGCAGATCAGATGGCCCCTTGCCTGCTGCTTTGGGCAGGAAGACAAATACAAGCAGTATGAACCCAAGTGAAATACCAGGCAGGGTAAAACCAGAGACTATGTTGTTCTGCAGAGGAAAAGAAGAGAGGAGGCAGGGATACCCTTCTATCACCCTTCCCTCCTTTTGAAGCCCCAGCAGAGAGAAGCCTGCACTTGGGAGAAGCTCATGGCTGCAAGAAAAAAGGAGGCAGTGCTCTGCAGATAGCGTTTTTCTAATTCCACTGACAGCCTCGCATCTCCCATCTCATCCAACCTCACTCCTGAGCTGAACTCAGCCACTGCTGCCCATTTTCCCTGTTGACATGGACAGAAAATTGAGCAATTACCCTTAAACTCCTCTCTCTCAGATTGCCCTGATTGCTACACACACAGCATTAAGCCCCCAATTGCCCCTGGCCAAAAGTGGCTCAACTAGGCCTGTCCATTAGGAATTGTTGCTCAAGAGAGTTTATTATTCCTCACCTTGTAAATGTATTAAATCCCATTCAAGCAGGTCGCCCATTGTGCAGAGAGGCAGAGCTCTGATATCTGAGCCCCAGTGAATAAGGTTCAGGCAGACACACAGCAAGCTAGCCAAGGTGCACTCCCTGGTTCCTGCACCCAAGTGCCTTGTGCACCAATGTGTACACATGTAGGCATGCACTGCATATCAGAGCATCTCACAAGAGCTGTGATATCACTAGGGTGGGTGCTTTAGAACAGTCTCTCTCAACTCATGGGTCATGAGCCAAAATGTGCTGCAAGAATATACGAAAGGGTCACAAAGCAACATTAAAAATGGATCAACAAGCTTTAAAATGGATTCTCCCTTAGAGACAAAAAACATGGGCAACTGTGGCTTTTCCACTGCAGGCTGGCTGAGTTCCAGCCTGCAAGAGGCTACTTGGGGCCCCCCATACCCTGCCTCCCTACCCCACACACTGGGGGGTTGGGGCCCAGGGTCAGCACTGACCACTGATGTTTATGAATGGGTCCTGGTACAAAAAAGGTTGAGAACCACTGCTTTAGGAAACACTGAAGTCAACTGACAGAGACACACCAGGGTTATAGCAAGCATGGTGCTGCTGTTTCTTCAGGCACCTACAGCTTTCCCTCCATTTGGAGTTACTGAGGTGTGAAATGATGCTTTTGTCAGAAACATTCCTTCACTCTCCTGTTTCTCAAAGCTGACTCCTTTGTAAAGCGTCTCACTTGTCCTGGTCTACTCCCCAATAGAGGAAAAATAAGGTTGAGAAAAAAGGAATTCTTAGCATCATACTGAGTATCCCATGAGCCAAGATGCTCCTAAGCTCTAACATTGGAGCCTTGCCCATCGCCCTGAGGCAACACATTGCTATTTTACTATACTGTGTGTATGACTCATCCCCTGTGATTTCCTTATGTCACAGCTGTGTCTCCAGTGAAGCTGGAGATGGTCCCATTTGCACTCCAGTTTGGCCTCACTCAGGCACCTCCTTTCACAACAGTCTCTGGGTTCCTTCTACACAATCCCTAGCACAAGGATCATTCACCAGGAACCAACCTTAGGAGTCACTATGTTCAGTGGCACTGGTTTCCCCTCCTTTTTGCCAGTGGCACCTTGTAGGGTATTTTAGGTTTTGCAGAACATGGGAGGGGCCGGCATGGACAATTTTTAGGACTCTTTGGGTAAACAGTTTTGGGAAATGAAGGAGACTAAACATGATGGCCTGGGAGGACTCTTGAAATCTGGCATTCCTGTCTGTCTGTAAGAATCCAACCTAACTGTGATAAATCAGCCAGAGTCCTATGGTCTTGCTGAAGAACACAGGGGAGTCTACCACTATTGCCAGTATATTCATGCAATTACAAAACAGATCAAATAAAAAACATTTTCTCCCTCATTGTGTGCCCCTCCCCCACCTGCTAATGCCTGTTTGGGGGTTCTTTATGGTATGGAGCATATCTTTAAAATGCCCAACACAATGGGACCCTGATCCTACTTCCATCTCTAGGCACCAGTGCAATCAAGACAACCACAACTAGACAAATTTTAAGTCATGTCTAGGCCATTTTAAACGCACAAGATCCTTCTGTAAATGCACAGTTTTCTCTCTTGTTCTTTTAATAAAAAGGTCAGTTGGGGGACAAACACTGTTAATGCAGTGTTACAGCTGAGATGTCCAATGCATTCGAGGCAGAAGAGTCAAACGTATGGTTTGACAGCAACAATCATCAGGCAACCCTGCCAGTTTACATTAAGGTATACAAGCTAGCAACTTATGCCCACAGAAGGACCACAGTACACCCCCTAGGAAAACATAAGCCAATGCCGATGCCTTGACTTATGTGTGTTTAGAATTTTAGCCATAATGCTGCATTGAATAGCATGAGCCAAAAAGTATGGTTGTATACAAGGAAGCCTAATTTACCTGGGGCAGCAACTCAACTTGGTGTCTGACTACAATGCTGGATGCCCAAGTTATTGCCTGCTTTTTACCATGAGTCTTATTTATACTTCCCCATTTGATTTTTCACTATAGTTATTTTATTTGGGATGGGATTTTGTTTTTATTCAACTTTCCTTCCCTGGAATCACTGCAACCTCAGGGAGATTCAGTCCCTGTGCCTTCTCACACAATTCCCCTGGCTTTAACTATGTCTGTAAGGAGCATGGTGAAGTAATGGAAAATATGCAAAGGCACTGATAATTCCCAAGCTTTCAAAACACAGAGTAAAGTAACATATTTGCTTATAGTAGATATTTAGTTACACCACATACCTGTATGTTGGGATCTTACCCCTATCACACTCACGCTTATGCACACACTCACACATGCACCCAAACAAAACAAAACGGACTGAAACTGACTATCAGTTGCAGCTTAGCTCTGGATAAATAAATGCATTGTATTGTAACTTGACATATCTCTACATCACGTTCTATTTCAGTTCTTATTTGTATTTATCACCACCAATATCAGGGCACCAGGTGTCACATGCTGCAAATATTTGGCAAGGCGGTCTGCGCTGGTCTGGCAAAGAATGTTCTTATACTCTGAGAGGCAAGTGTTTCACAAGAAGGCTCACAGGTATTTGAGCACACAGTGAACACAGACCTGCAGCAATATACAGTACTGGAGCTATAAGAAGCTCAGAAGGCCTCCCTGGAGGAAAGCTAAGATCATTCTAAGAGCTTAGCATGTGCCAGAGCTGGGAGTAACATATACAAAACTTCACCAGAGATTTGAAAAAGCCTTATATTTTACCTACTGAAATGGTGAATGGCTTATTACCTATAGCAATGCCTGATCCTTTCATGATTCCTGTTAAATTCAGATGCATGGGGATATTTTGAAACCCTGAGTTGTACAGGTTAACCATACACTCTGTAGAAGAGTTATTAGTACCTGAAAGTCTACTGTAACTCTCAGCAACTGGGGGCAAGGATCTGTGCCTGCCTGCCTTCTCAGAACCCTGATTAATGTTTATGTAGGACTCTGCCACGTGGATTTTTCCAGCGGTTTCTCCATTGCTTGGTGCTGGAAAAGAAGGCTCTGACAACTATATGGACAGGCACAGCTAGTATCTGACCCAGAGCATGGAGTACTTGACAGCAGCCAAGACAGTGCTGGAAAGAGCTAATTCAGTGGTGCCCATACTCCACCCATATATATATATGTGGTCCCAGATAAAGGTGACTAGATTTAAAAAAAAGAATTCCATGGATTGTTTATCAATCTAATCTGAAGTAGGGAAAGAAACAGCATAGTTGGGAAGAGCAGACTAAGGGGCACAGAGGCAGACATTACAGGTGCTTGCCCTGAAGTACAGGAAGGAGTATGTACCCAGGAGCCAGACAGAGACAGAAACACATTTCTGGGTTTCTCCTTCTTAGCAACGGCAGGTTATCATTTCTATATCACTCCAGATTACTTGAACTCTGGGATTACCCCTCTCCCGTGCCTAGGATTTCTGGTCTGCTTTACGGCTTATTCAGCTCTGCAGAAGACACCTTTGCAGTTGATCCTTCTGCCTTTGCGTCTCTGACAACTATGACCCTCTTTTCCTGCTGCTTCTTATATTTCTGCCCAGGCTTCTAGGAATCCCTAGGGAGAATGTGAAGAGGTTTCTAGTAGTTAGGAAGGGGCCACCTTACCTCCACCATCATCTGATCCCTCCAAGCTTTGCTGCCTGAGGCGGTGGCTGCAGGAAAAAAAAAAAAAAACAGAAAAAAACAGGAAAACAAGTTTCAAAGACAAACACAGAAAAATGTCTTCTCCGGGTTTCTCCCTCTCCCAGGAGCTTGCTGGCCTCAGCACACTCCAAACTGAAAAGTTACACTGGTCTACATCCATGTCCCATTCTGATGTAGCCATTTGCTAAGGGCACAAGGGCTATTACCTGCTTTCCCACTACCTCTCATAGAGCTGCCTAATGTGTGGGTTACCCCAGAATAGAGGCACATCTGTCCATTCCTGACCCTGGGGTCTTTTCCATCAGCATATAAAACTGTGGTACCATGGTTGTAAATGCACTACAGTCTGCATGTGTTTGTCCCTTACTCAGACTACCACCTCCACTTGACCCCAGAATAAGGGACTCTGCATACCATGGACATCTGCCCACACCAGGCTTTGCACCCCTGTCCTGAGCACAGACACACCCAAGCCCAAGTTCCCTGATATGCCAAATCACATGCCCATGCTCTGTACACAAAAAACGCTTGGGTCAGTCTCACCAGTCCCACTGGGAGTGAGGGGTCCATAGGAGGAGACAGTCAAGTCTGCCTCAATTAGCATTATGAGAACTTACTCTTCTACTTCTTCTGCATGTTTCCTTCCTGACCTGAAAAAAAAGGAAAAGCTTTTACTGAGAAAAAGCTGGAGGGTGAGAAAGAGCTGGAGGGTGGGGAGAGAAGGTGGGAGGAGCACCCTTCCAACACAGTGCTCCTGTCCTGTAAAACAGCCTTCAGATTTTCCTGAGGACACAGGTGACCTTGGGCATAAAACAAGGGACCATATCTCTCCAAGGTGCACACAAGTGGTGCTGGCTTAGTGCAAATAAAGGGTTAAACAGGAACAATAGCATCCCAGGAGGAACCAGGTCAGATACCAGCAAGAGCAACTCTCTGCTCTCTGTGTTCCTAAATATTCCCTCATCCCAAAAGCTACAGGTGAAGCTTCCCCTGCCTCAGTGTGAATAGGAAAATACCAAGCTAATTTCTAGACTACACCCCTGGAGACCAGGAAGTTCCTTCTGCCCTCAACCACAGACAAACACTGTCCGATTGCCTTCTTCACCCAGAAGCTCCACTTCAGCCTGGGCAAGTTCAGGTCCGACATGCTGTCGCTGCAGTAAATCAGGGCTGATCCGGCTGAGTTAACAGGAGTTCATAATAATATCGTGGGGGGAGGCGCTGGTGAATGGCAGTTCTCTCGCTCTCCACCCCAGCAAGCCCAGAAGTAATTCAGCTCCGATTAGGGATGCTTGTTCAATATTCAAAATGTAAAACATGGAGGTTGCTGAACCAGCACTTTGAAAAGTTAATTAAATGCCAGGTTTCTTTTTAGCAGATACTCCATCACTCGCTGATTGCTTTGGCCATTTTGCAGAATGAAGTTCTAACACTGCGCATTGGGAATAAATATGCTCCCTTCTCCCGGGAGTCAGGGCTCCATGACAGGGAATACACGGGGCTTTCTTTTCCCATGCACCCTGGCCTAGGAAGCCTCAGCCATTTCCATTTTCTTGCATTTCCCCTTTTGAAGCACCTGGGTGAAATGGTAGAAGCCTCCCCTTCACTCATCCAGCTCTCTATGCCAACAGCCCTAGCCCCTCATGTAGCCCTGAGGTGCAGAACATAAGTGCACACCTACGTGTAGAACAGGACACAGAGGAGTCTCTTTTATGATAGGAGGGAGCTGAGGAAGTCATATATCTTGAGAAAAACAGAGACGGTGGGAGTGCTCCTCACTGGAGCTTTCACTGAATCAGTGGCTTTGGGACAGATACAGTTGGATACAATTCCACTGTTAGAGCCAGAGTTACAGCCACTTACAGGAGATCTGAATCTGGATTTGGGTCTTCACCAGTGTTAAGGGTTAGGTTCACCCCCAGCCCTCCCCCCACAGCCAATGCACAGGTTTGTATAACTAGCTAACTAACTCCCTGCTAACCCAAAAAGGGCAAAGAAGTGGCCTAAGAGCCCAATGCCAGCTGAGGCTACAAGCTGTAAACTCCATGGAAAGAATTTGAGAAGTAGAGCAGAAAGGAAGTGTGAAGAACACCCCATCACACACATCTCTGCTTAGGCAACAGTGTTCCCTACAGCTGATTTTTCACAGCTTTCACCCATCCCAAGCAGCAGGCATTTCTATCTCTTCCCAAAACTAGGAGACAATACTGCACCCCAAACAGCAGAAACACTTTCTGGATGTTCACTCTAAACAGGGCTGTCCCTAGGGTATGGCAAATCAGGGTGACCACCCCAGGCCCTGTGCTTCAGGAGGTCCCATGCTTTGACATCTGAGGGCTATAACAGAGGTGCTGCCTAGCCCTCTCCCTGTGGCACAGCCTAGCAGGGAGCCCCTGCAAGGCTGCCAAGCACTCTGCTTGGCTCAGGGCCCCCCACTGCATGGGCATCCCCAGCCCTGTCCAACCTGGCTCTCACCTTGGCTGCCCTGCACTACAGACAACACCCTCCCCCCCCCCACACACACACACACCCTCCTGGACAGACAGCACCGTCAGCATCAGGGCCAGGGCTGCTGCCTCCATCCTGCTCTGCAGCCCGTGCCACCCAGCTCTCATAAGGGGGCCCTGCACAGGCTGATTTGCCCCGGGCCCTGCACTCCCTTAGGGTCAGCCCTGACTCTAAATCGTCACTATTGCTGGTGTTGGCCCCTTGCACGCCCCTAAATAACCCTTCTTTTTTCTTGGCAATTATATTCTTCAGATCCTTGTGCCTAGCCTCTCTCATTCCCTAGTC